CCTCGACTGGGGTACCTGACGTAGTAGGGGGTGGACTCCTCGAAACGGACGTCACGGGAGTCAAAGAACCGGTGAGAGGGAGGGTGGTAAAAGGTGAAGTCAGAGGAGTCCTCAGGGAAACCAAGGAAGACACAAGGAACGGCGCGAGGCGAGAGCTTGTCCGCGGAGGTGTCGCGGACAAGAGCCAAGCACCCCCAGACACGAAACCTCGACGCGACACCAGGGGACCCTGTCCAAAGACTGGTCGGTGAAGCCTCCGGCCGAGAGACGCGTGGCCAGAGGTTCAGCTGGTGCGCGGCGTACCTGACTGCGTATGGCCACAGGAAATGGGGGGCACGGGCGTGAGTCAAGGAGGTGCGGGCAATCTCCATGACCAGGCCTATGCGACGCTCAGCAACCCCATTCTGCTGTGGGGACTCCGGAAGCGTCCAGGACTGACGAATGCCCTGTTCGCGACAGAATCCAGCGAGAATGCCGGAGCGAAACTCGCCCCCGCGGTCGGAGTGGAGACAGCTGACACGACGACCACGAGTGTCCTGGGTGGTAAGCAACCACCTGATCAGCGTAGAAGTCACCTCAGACTTCCTCGCCAGGGGGAACACTGTGGTGTAGCGGGAGTAGTCGTCAACGACCACCAAAAAGAAACGCTCACGCTCAGGGCCAGGGCGAGGAGAGGGGCCCCAGACGTCCAAGTGCAGCGTCTCAAAAGGCTCGGTGGCCGGACGAAGGGAGGAGGAGTGAGGGGTGGCACGCAGCCTACCCTCGACGCAAGGACCGCACGGTGGTGCAAGGGACGGCGGCAGCGACGGCAAGACACGCGGGAGACCTAAGACCAGACGCTGACTAGACATAGCACGCAGACGTGGAAGAGAAGGGTGTCCCATCCGGTGGTGCCACAGAACGGTGGGGTGGGCAAGCGACCGACAGGAGCAAGACGCAGCGACTGGACTGGACGCGACAACCTGAGGGGACGGAACCACCTGGTGAGACGCAGGGAGGAGACTAGGGGGAGGGACAGGAACTGGGAGGAGTGGCTGCTGCGACGGCGGCCGCTGTGGCTGCGGCTGCGGCTGCTGCCGCTTCTGCTGCTGCTGCTGTTGCTGCTGCTGCTGCTGCGGCTGCTGCTGCTGCTGCAGTCGCTGCTGAGCGCGCGGGCCAGTGTGAAGAGTGTAGAGACCGGAGCCCGGCTCAGCAGCAAAAGTGGCGAGGGGCTGGTAAGAGTCCCCGTCAACACACACCGCAGTCTCTCCAGAAGGCTCAAACCACACACCCACGTGCTGACTCACGAGGGGTCGCACGCCCACCAAGTTCCGGGAGAACGAGGGGACGTGAAACCCAGTGAGAGACCCAGAAGGAGCAGCCGGACACGGCAAGGTGGTAGTGTGACGCGCGGTGACTGGTCCCGAAGTGGGATCAGCCAGCGCCACAGAAACAGGCGCAGGAAGAGGCGTAAGTGTCGTGCTGTCACGAAAGAAGCAGTGAGAGGCTCCAGAGTCCAGCGTGAACGACAGCGAACCGTCCTCTGAGGTAGCCGCTGGACTAGAGTCTACACAAGAACCTACACTAGCAACAGGCAACTGAGCAAGGCTAGCACCTAAGCTAACAACACCAGAGTAAGCAGAGTCAGAAACACTAGAGTCAACAACAGCATACATAGCATGGGGAGTACCAATCAGATCAACTAACTGCTCAGCAGACATGCCCCACAGAGCGGAGCCGTAGCGCTGAACAAGAGGCAGCCAGTCAGGGGCAGGAGCACCAACCCCGTAGACCAAACGAACCGTGTCAGTGAGCTGAGCAAAGCACTGACCAGGGGGGTGAAACCGGCCACAAGGGTGGCCACGACGAGGGCCTGTCAGAACCTGGTAGGTGCAGGGAGTGTAAGCAGCACCACGCTGGGTCTGACGCAGCCCCGACCCTGGAGCCAGCTGCTGCCGCTGCTGCTGCTGAGGCTGCTGGGAGGAGAGGGGCTGCTGGTGCTGCAGAAGCTGCTGCTGACGCTGAGCCTGGTACCACGCCGCTGCTCCACCAACCGGGGCAGGAAGTACAGGAGGCGACTGACGAACTCGGGCGTCGCCACCACTAGCAGGCGCAGTGGAGTCACCAGTCACTGCACGAGGCGCCTCTCCAGGCCCTGAACCTCCACCGCCGCCAGGCGCAACGCCACCTCCACTACCTCCGCCTCCACCTCCACTACCACCACCAGAACCGCCTTTCTTGCCACCCCTACCGCGGGACCGCGACGCAGTCGTAACAGCAGCTGCAGTCGCGTCAGTAGCGGCAGTGGCAAGTGAGGCAGTAAAGGTGGGTAACTGCGGGACTGTGCACCCGTGGAAGAGTGGGGGGGGCACAGCACCAGAGGCAGCGGCTACCGAGCGAAGGTTGCTCTCGACGTCCTTGAGTGTAGACTCAAGGACATCGACGGTGAGCTCACTAGGGTGCTTCAGCAGAAGCGCGTCGCGAACGGAGGCAAGGCGGTCAGGGAGGCTAGTGGCGATGAAATAGATAGTAATCGCCATAGGGGGAGGAAGCAGTGCAAGCTGTGCCTCAGTGCAAGCAGCGCGGTAACTAGCGTCGAGCGAGCGGAGGTGAGCGATCAAGTCAGCAGAGCGCTCAAACGAGGCGAGATCAGGAAACAGGAACGGGAGGAAAAGACGGCCAAGAGAGACAGTAGCGGGAGTAGAGTAGCGGGCCTTAATCGCAGTGAGGTACGCAGCAGCGGTGCGAACCTGAGTGAAGTGGACCTCCTCTGACTCAGGGAGGAGGCTGCTGAGTGCGATGCAGGCCGCAGCGTCACGCGACGTCCAAGCCGTCCTGTCAGCGCGCTGACGGGCAAAGCGAGCCGTAGCAGCATCGTCAGGGGCAGGACCTAAAGCGGCAGGCTCGGGGGGCTCGGGGAGGTCACCAGTAGCGTGCGACCAGAGGGTCTCGCCCCCCTGGACTTGACTCTCTAACAGACGGCGAGCGCGAAGAAGCCAGACGGAAAAGTCAAGAGGTCTACCGTCAGCGTCGAAACGAAGAACTCGCGGAGTCGCCATAGCGAGAACTAACGCGAACGAGCAGGCGAGTAACAGCAGGAGGTAAGAGGCAAATTAGGGTTCAGGTGGGGGGGGGGGGACTTAGTCGCAGCGGAAGAACGGGCTAGGGCGACGGGCCAGGGCGTAGGGTCGACGGGACGGGGGAAAGGGCGGGCGCGATGCGACGGGGCAGGGCGACGCGACGGGGCAGGGCGACGCAACGGGGCAGGCGACGGGACGGGGAAGGGCGACGCGACGGGGCAGGGCGACGCGACGGGGCAGGGCGACGGGACGGGGAAGGGCGACGCGACGGGGCAGGGCGACGCGACGGGGCAGGGCGACGGGACGGGGCAGGGCGACGTGACGGGGGGAAAGGGCGCGACGCGACGGGGGGAAAGGGGGGCGACGCGACGGGGGGAAAGAGCGCGACGCGACGGGGGGAAAAGGGCGCGACTCGACTGGGGGGAAAGGGCGCGACGCGACGGGGGGAAAGGGACGCGACGAGGGGGAAAGGGCGGGCAGGACGCGACGCTAGGAGTGGCGCTAGGCGCGGCACTACGCGCGGTAACAACGGAACCGGGACGAATGAGAGCTAGGATCAGGCTCGGGAGGCTCGAACGGAGAACGGAGGAACGGGATCCCACAGGATCCTAACCTAACTGATACCATGTCAGAATGAAGAATGGATGATGCATTGATGTTGGTTGGGGTACATATAGCTAACCCTAAGTTTTGTACCCCCTAAGACAAACCTCACTATAGGCTACAACATTTGACAGATATCTTGCACATGTTTCAACTAAATTTTTAAATAAACAATGGTATGAAAATTATATGCAATCAAAGCCTTGATACGAGGAAGAACCGTTCAATCGTTATTATTGACTTAATAATACAATGATTCAACAGAGTAAAAATATTTGTCAGTGGCCTGTTATTTCTCTTGTCATGTTTTCTAGACATTCACATTATTCTACATATGGTGTTGTTTACCTACACCATACATCAGAAAGGTGTAGACCACATAATTCACTGATATGTGAATTCGGTGATCTGTGACATACCGCACCTCACGGCGAGTCAGACATCTCTCGGGCATACTGCACAAAGGGTGAAGTATTTACCTGGGCTTTGTGAACGAACCGGCAGTTTTCAAAGGATAGGAAGCTACGGAATATCATTGGCCACACCTCCTAAAAGGTGGGAGTTTGAAACGAAAACTGGACAAAACATTCACATCCCAATTTTTATTACTTGCATTTTCTACCTTTAAAGTGTCATCGTCAAGTTCCCACCCGCGTAGCTAGCTCTTCCTTCCCATGCAACCAACACCAGCAACTGAAAGGGGAAACGAGACCCCGACCGGGCACCTTGTGAATATTTACACTTTCCACGAGAAAATTGGATCGGGCAGTCTGGGTGGAAACGAAATGTGCACGGTGGTCGTCAAACGCGTCACATTCCTGGTAACGCGGTCAATTTCGATTATTGGCTGTTTGCGGCGATCAAACCGAGTCTTATCTTTTTGTAACGCACTGGAAACGTGTGTAGCGTACCACACCATCCGACATCCCCTGAGTAGTCAAGCGACTCACTGAAATGGATAATAGTTGGAACGCCGAATTTTCCGCAGGTGATTCGTGCAACTGCGCTTCAGCCCATTCACACATTCACCACGATCCGCAATCTCACGCAATACAAATGCACTACGATTTTCTTCGAAATCAGTCCCACACCCTACAGCTCTTCAATCTCTCGTTTCCAAACTCACTTCCGCATCCTCTTTACTAGCTAGTAATCATGGCGCGTCTGCTTACGGCTCTCGTTCTCCTGCTTGCCGTCACCGCCACTCTCGCATCACTCGCTTCCACGGCTGCTGCTCGACCTGCTCAGCTTCTTGGCGACGGGATGTCTACCGATGGTGAGTAGCAAACCTCGATTATGAGGGCCGATGATTCTTCGTGCGAAGTATTTTCACTTACGATGGTGACCCACATCTCCGTGCGATTTTACCGCATCTCCGTGCGATGGTACCGTATCTCCGTGCGATGTTACCGCATCTCCGTGCGATGGTACCGCATCTCCGTGAGATGATCCGCGAATCTCTCTCTGCCACCCATCACTCCCCTTACCCCTTCCCCCGGTCCCCTCGTCCCCTGCGTGAATCTATTTGTCGGCATGGCGTGGCCGCAGGTGCCTCGGGAGCGGTAGACACCGCCGGCGGCGCCATAACGGCAGAGAGCGCGCCGAGTGTTGCTCAGCGCGGCGCAAGGGACGAGCAGGGTCGCCGCCGCGAACTCGTTTCGAGTAGGATAGCCAAGCCAATCCCCCACATGTTTTTGTTCCTGCGGTTTTTTCTGCTTTTGCTTTTCTATAATTTCCTGCTGTTACTGTATACAAGGAGCTGCTGATTTCGTGCTGCCTCCCTTGATGTCGCTCATTCTCAGGCGGCCTGCCCCAAAGTGAAAAATTCGACTCAATAGTCTCCCCTTTGCTGTCACGCGTTTGCAGAATCGAGCTGCGATAAAGCGAGGAATAGGGATTGCTCGATTTCGGTGTTTCTTTTCATTAAACGGAACATGAACCAAAGGGAGCAGAATGTATGCGAGAATGCCCGTGCGAACACGATTCGGGAATGCGACTCTTGGGGCTACTGGTGAGTGGGAGATGCTTCTTGGTGCCTGGGCTATGCTTGTCGGGGCTATGCCTGTTGGTGCGAGGGCAGTGCTTTGTTAGTGAGAGGGCAATATCATTGCGAGGTGTGGTGCTTGTATGCTCCCCATGGTTTCATACACGCAGCCATAAAACCATGTGAAGGGAGTGTCTTGCCGCATACACTGCGTGTCATGGGACGGCCATGCGAGCTGTCCCTTTGGAGCGCGCAAGCCTCGCAAGCGTTGTCGCATGTGCCTTCATTTACAGCCCGGTCTTTCCCAACTCACGGCCGTTGTGCATGATAGACTGTGGGGCTAAGCTATGATGATGCAAGCATGTGCGCCGCACGGAGATATTTTCTAGGCGACTCAAAACTACCCACCACGCCCGTGTGTGCATGTGCTGTGGGGATCAGCCCTCATGATGCCAGCATGTGCGCCTCATGTAAAGGCCATAGCAGCTGTCCCTTCGCAGCGCGGCAGAGTCTGGAGAGCCTTTAATGTGGGGCCCACCTCCCCTACGTGTGCATGTGCTGAGAAACTGACTCGTACCACCTCCCACCTTGTCCTTGTGTCTGCAGATCTCTGCTGATTCAGCAGCTTCAAGAGCAGCGCCAAACAACACCCAGCGGTCCACGGTCAAGACTGGAATCGTTTAATACTATCCGTACTACTATCTGTAATACTGGAATTAGTATAATACTATTACCAATAACGGCGGGGGAATGCCAGGGGGATTCTGCTTGCCGCAACGGAAGCTAGCATTGTAACCATGGTGGTGTGTTCATGGTGTGCCCATTTCTCCCGTGGTCCTTCTGCATGGGTATGCATTTAAGCTAGTGCTCTCTATGTGGGTATGGTGCTTATCTAAAATGTGCCTGAAATGGGTGGGTGCTTGGGTGAGGTGATATCTAAAAAATGTGCCTGAAATGGGTGGGTGCTTGGGTGAGGTGATATCTAAAAAATGTGCCTGAAAAGTCAATCAGTCACGCAATGCATCTCATTGACTTCTGTCCACTTAGCGTATGCATCTGTTGAACTGCTAATATAAGCAGTACGTTGCGGTTACTGTGCCACAGTGCGCGGCGACGAGAGTCGCGGCACTCATGGCGAGAGGAGGCTCGAATACTAAGGACTCCAAAATCAACTCGTTTTCCGAATAAGTGGAGTTTGGCCATTCGATACAGAAAGCTAGGAGATGAAGGCGCCCCAAAATGTCGCAGACCCTATTTTGTAAAATTTCTTAGCAGCGCGCGGGAAGTGGCAGTAGCGCCAAAAACATGCTTGCAGAAAATACGGACTAACATGGCGAGTACGACGAGAGCTAAAATTGTTACCTTGAGTGCTACTAGTATGCGCCGTAATGCACTTCCCGCAAATAGCCGCCACCTTCACAGTCAGTAACCTAATTCGCCGTCAGACTGAGTAGCGGGAGGCAATTGTGGCGGGACATCCGCTTTCATGCCTGAAAGTCGGACATTGATTTAGTGGTTAGGGCGTGTGTCCTTCGGGTCGAACTTTTTGAAGAGATGCTACACGGTAGAATACATTTTAGACATGTTTTCCCACGTTTCAAAGCGGTTAAAGTTCGAACTTTGCCTATTTTGGACCGAACTCGTGCAGGTGACGTGTGAGGCGAAACTTTTCGCCATTGTCTAACGGGGAATGAGCAGCTTTCTACTTATTCGTTGATGGATGTAACCTGATACTGAAAGCGAACTAACCCAACTTGTAACCTTATAATCAAGCTCAACAAATCTCAATGCTGCATGCACCGCTGTAAAACGTACAAAACCAGATTGAACCACTTTTTGTCGAGCCTACGAGTCACGCCTTGACAAAATTAATTTTCTCCCGTAGCCTCCATATCTCCACATACTTCTCATACTTCTCACTCATTCCGATCCCCGCTCATCTTCGTACCCGATCTGCCAGAGACTCCTTCGAACCGCGACTTTGGAGTGCATGCATCAAAGAGTTAATCTCGAGCTCTCCAGACCTTCGAACATACCCGTCTTGCCAAGCCATACGAAGGTTCTAAACCGTACGATCGCCATCATGTTCAAAAAGCCTAGCGACGTTCGCGGACAGCAGCGTCTGTCAGGAGCGGACAGAAAGAAGCTTCGGCGAAACATCCGAGACAAGTTTCCAGGCGCCACTGACGAACAGCTGGACGCGATCCTGCCGCCCAAGGTGCTCCTTAATAGCTCCCCGCTTTAACCTCGTAATCCCCCCCGGTTATTTCCCACGTAGTAGGTCCCCGCATTCGCCGCTTGATATCCTGCATCATGCTGAATCCTTCCCGCCCTCCTAGTCCAGCTGGCCTTCCTCCTGCTCTGATGCCAGCGTCTTTTGAGGCGCCTCAAAGCGGCCAACACGCAACCCGCCGAATTTCCTGCTCCCTTCAGTGATTTTTTTCCCCCGAAAATAGTCATTTTTTCTTTTCTTTCTTTCTTTTTTTCACGGAACCCCGATCGGTTTGTTTGGTGGTTCAGGCTGCCGTGGCGGTGACGAGGCTGGTGAATCGCGTGCTGGTGTACGGAATAGTGCATGGGCTGCCCATGCTCTTCGACTGCGATGGCCGCGGCACCGAAATATATCCCACTGGTAACCACACTGATACTCATGTGGCATGGCAACACCCCCTCGTGCTGGGACTCGGGCTGCCATGCTCTTCGACTGCGACGGCCACGGCACTGAGATCTACCCCACTGGTAACCACATGGCCATGTAACCACACAGATTCTCACACGGACCTTTCCCGTCTTCCCCGCCTTGCGCCCTTTCCTCCCTTCTCGTTCCACTCTGCTGTTCTTCCCCTCAACCCTCGTGCGGGTGTAACGACTAGATGCGTTTCCCGTTTGGAGTTTGGACGGTTCTTTCCCGTTTGGAGTTTCCGCCGTCCAGAGCACGTGCTTCCTGTGCGCGCTCCATTTCCCTCCCATACTATTGTTTCAATCACCTTCACCGCAACTCGACAGTAACCTGCTGTTTACCCTCCTCATGTCAAACCCTGAACCCCTCAATTCCGGACCTTCAACCTTATACCCTCAACTCCTGCCGCTCAAACCCAGTCCCGACACCCCATCCCCAATTGTTGCGATGTGGCGTGTGCCTGACCTGGTGCCGCCTTTCCTTCTGAAGGGCGAGGAGGTGATGACTTCCAAGTTGACGTAACAGTCGCCTTTAAAACCCAGGGTCCACAGGTTTCAAAGGTAGGAAGGTTGGTTGACGTAACAGTCGCCTTTAACCCCGAAACCCTGAACCCCTGTCACGCCCACCCTCATATCCCATTCCAGTGTTTGCGCTCTGGCTTGTTCCTGACCTGCTGCCGTCCTTTCTGCTCAAGGGCGGGGAGGTCTGAGACACCTTGAACCCTGAACGCTTAACACCCTGCAACCCCACTCCCCATCCATCCCCAGTGTTCGCGCTGTGGCGTTTACCTGACCTGCTGCCATCGTTCCTGCTCAAGGGCGAGGAGTTGATGACTCTTGAGTCGACTCAACTCTCACCTGAAACCAACCGCAACGCTGTCACCTTAAACCTTGAAACCCTGAACCCCTGTCACCCCAACCCCACACCCCATCCGCAGTGTTTGCGCTGTGGCTTGTACCCGACCTGCTGCCGTCGTTCCTGCTCAAGGGGGCGGGGAGGTCTGAGACGCCTCCAACTGAACCCTGGACTCCCCCCGCCCCAAACTCACACCTCACCCCATCCATCCGCAGTGTTTGCGCTGTGGCTTGTACCCGACCTGCTGCCGTCCTTCCTGCTCAAGGGAGGGACATGATGACTTGCGAGTGGACGCAGCAGTCCCCATAAACTCCGAAACCCTGAACCCTTGTCCACCCTCATACCCCATCCCAGTGTTTGCGCTCTGGCGTGTGCCCGACCTGCTGTCGTCCTTCCTGCTCAAGGGCGGGGAGGTCTGAGATACTTCTTGAACCCTGAACTCCCCACACCCCAAATTCTCTCACCCAAACTGCAGTGTTTGCGCTCTGGCTTGTTCCTGACCTGCTGCCGTCCTTCCTGCTCAAGGGTGGGGAGGTCTCCCGCTACGTGCTGTCAGGGGCTGACCTCATGGCTCCAGGCGTGCAGGTGCGAGTGAGGAGGGGGTTTGGGGTAGTGCGAATGTGGGGGAATTTAGGGTGCTGCGGCTTGTTTCTGGGAGGTCTCCCGCTACGTGCTGTCTGGGGCTGACCTCACGGCGCCAGGCGTGCAGGTAAGAGTGAGGGCGGAACAAAGGTAGAGGCGGGCGGGTAAGGATTTAGGGTACAGTGAAGTAGGGTACAGGGAGAGGGTAGAGTTCATTTTTTAGGTGAGACGTCTCTTTCTTCGTGATGTAAGAAGTTGACCTCATGGCGCCGGCTATGCAGTGGAGAATGAGGGAAGGGTTTAGTGTACAGTGTAGGTGCGGAGAGGGTTGAGTACAGGTGGCAAGGTTTTTGTGGAGTCCATTCGAATGTTCCCCCTTTCGTGTCTATTTGAATGTCTGCTCCTCTCTGCTCCGATACGCACCCCTCTGCACCGCTTTGCACTCCTCTGTCCGCCAGGTGCCTCCGGAAGGCCTGCCAGCGTTTCGGCCAGGGGAGGTGTGGTCCGTGAAGGTTCCAGGAAACTCCTGCCCCATTGCTGTACGTGCCTATTTGAATGCCACACCACCGCCCTGCTTCACTGCGCTCCACCGCCTTCACTGCGCCCCACCGCTCTCCACCCCGTCCACCGCTCCCCACCCTGCTCCACCGCTCCACGCTGCTCCACCGCTCCACCCTGCTCCACCACTCTCCACCCTGCTCTACCATACTACACCAAGTTCCGGTGCCCCTCATCTCTCCAAGTTCTGACGCGATGTATCGGAATTGCGACGAGGTTATGTTTCTTTTCTGGAGAATCAGAAAGAGCGCAAAGGATGAGCAGCAGTGCGAGGATGACCGTGCGAGAACGCTTGCAGATTGCAAGAAATGGGGCTACTGGTGAGTGGGAGATGCATGTTTGTGCCTGGGCTATACTTGTTGCCTGGGCTATGCTTGTTGCCTGGGCTATGCCTGTTGCCTGGGCTATGCTTGTTGTCTGGGCTATGCTTGTTGGTGAGAGGGCATTTCGTGCTGGTGAGGGCAATAAAATTATTATTATTATGACCGACTCGTTCCGTCGTCTCCCCACCGTGTCCTTCTCTCTGCAGATCCACCAGCCGCGACTAAGACCAACTCCTCGCAACACCTGGCGGGACAACTGTTAAGACAGGGAGCGTGTAATACTAGTGGCGGGGGAAAGACGAGGAGCCTTCTGCTTGTTGCAATGGATGTTACTAGCCTTGTGACCATGTGGGTGTGTACTCTATATGGGTGTTTGTGGGTATTTTGTATTCTTGTAGGTGGGTGATTGGGTGCCTGGATGTCGATGAGTAACACAGTGTATCGGTGATTGTAACAACTCCAGTTCACCTCGTATGACTCCTTGAACCCTTGTGCGGAATGATCTGTTGAGCAGCTACCCATACGTGCATACCAGGGCTCTCGTTAGCAGACCAATTTGGTCTGATGGTCTGCGTTTCAGACTTAATTTTCTTATTTCAGATGATCTGTAAGACAAATGGGTTTACTTCAGATGATCAGTAAGACAAATGATTTTACTTCAGATACATTTTCAGATCGCATACTATGCTTCATCTTACACATGAGATAACGAGTACGATTCCGTCTGAAACCGACATTTATGCCCACTTGTCAATAGGGCCACTGGTTGGGGTATCTGCCAGCCTGTGTACATGCATGCGTAATGAATGCCACTGTCCCGTAGCATCCGCGCTGGAGGAAACAGCACCGCTGGCAGCAGCTAACTATGTGCAATGCTGCCAGCACTTTGTCGCTGCGTGGGTGTCGGCGCCGATGCCAGCCACACCCAGGCACCGACACCGTCATTTTGTGCAATGGGGTGTGAACTTTGCATCCCGGATGCACGTAACTGTGGTCCCCGCCCAAACCCCGCACCGCGTATCACTCTGACGCGCTACGAGAGGAGGGTTTGAGGGACCTAGCTGGGGGCACACCACCCATCTTCTACATCCTTTTCTTCCCCTACATTCGACTGGCCCCGCAGTGCAGTTTTCCACTTTCAGCTGTCGCCCTGATGGCCATTCTAGAGGAGAAAGACCCCTTTGGAGTCTCAGCACTGGATTTTCTCACACGGGGCAAGTCGATCCCCGTCGTTGTACCCCCCGTTGCCTCGTGCTCAACCCGGGTTATACCAGCGGACAACGCCTCAACAGACACTGTGGCCGAAGAAAATGTGGATGTCGGCATGCCAAAGGCTACCACGCCCACGTTGACGAGTATACCAGCATCTGGCGGTGAATCGATCCGGCCCGTTGTTTCTGTTGCAACAACCACCAATCTACGGGCTAACCCTGTGCTGCCTGACAGCGCTTCTGTGAAAGCTAAATACAAGCAGCGGTGGCTTAACTTTGCCCGTCCCGCAGGTCCGACATTGCCCGCGCCATCGGAGACGGTCCCGCCCGCGACTCGTCAATCCACCGACGACGATGACGGAGCCGAAGAGAAGGGCACTACTAAGGGACGTCGGCCGCTGACTGTGGAAGAGCTGCAGCTCAAGTGTAAGGAGCAGTGGCTTTGCTACTTCCCGTGGCTCTTCATCAGTGAGACGAAGGACGGGCGACCTTGCATACGCTGCAGCGTCTGTATGGTGATCGGGGACCCGCACGACAAGTACGGCCGTTATGGTGAGGGCGGCCTCGACATTCAGAAGCAGACGATGCGCAAGCATCGTTTCAGCGTGAAGCACGAGGCGGCGGTCCTGCAGAAGGAACAACGTGATGGCCTGAAGAAAGGGCAGCAGTCCATCGTCGCTTACAACAAGGGGGACGACGACGCCAGGCAAATTGCTAGATTAATGGCAATCGCATTATTCGTCTGCAAATCTGACGCCCCTATTGTGCTGTTCGTTGCTCTTGTGCAATTCATGGCTGAGCAGGGCACGCCGGACATGCCCTTGAAGGAGAATGGCACCTATTACAGCGAGTAAGATTGTATCCCGCATATCTGTGTTGCTGCTCCACAAATCTAAGGGATATTCATGTTTATGTGTTGCAGGTATGGTTTCGCTCAGCTCGTGGCAACCATGGTGTCATACCTGCGGTCCTGTCAGCTGCAGTACATCCGCGCCAGCCCCTACCTCGGGATCCAGCTGGACGAGAGCACGGACCGAAGGCGCGGGAAGCATATGATCGTCTACCTCACATTCCTGCGCGAAAACCTTCCAGTCACGGAATTCTACACCCTGCTATCGGTCGAGCAGTGTGATGCCGCCTCGCTGCCGACCGGCCTGCTGACGCATTTTGAGACAACGGGGATCGATCTGCAGCGCATCTCCGGTATGAGCACGGACGGCGCTTCAGTGATGACTGGACAGCACAACGGGCTGGTCGCGCGCCTGCGCTCGAAGGTTCCTCATCTCGTTTCGTGTCACTGTGTCGCACACAGGTGAGTTCCTCCGGGTTGTTTATTGATGCGCGTATCAACCGTGTACTGACTTCTTTTCTGTTTAAACTTACAGGGAGGCGCTAGCAGCTAAAGATGCAGCAGCCGCGTATCCTGACCTTCAGATTGTGGACAAGGCTGTCCGGTCCGTGGTCGACATTCTCGGGCGCCTCGTTGTTCACACACGATTCAAGGAGCTCCAAGAGGTCATTTGCGAGACGCATCTTGAGATGCAGGGGATAAAGGACGTGAGGTGGCTTTCCCGAGGCAATGCGATCCAGCGACTCGTCGCGGTGTTCCCTGCTGTTATGATCGTCCTGCAGGAATTCGACAACAAGATGTATAAGACAGTGACGAGTTTCAAATTTCACTTCTTACTCTACTTGCTGGCCGATGTGCTGAAGGAGCTGAACCTGCTCAACTTGAAGTTCCAGACACGACAGGTACGTGTTAATGTTTGCGCTTTAAACCTCCCGTTTTGTTTGGTAACATTCTAACTTCTTTCTGCGTTGTGCTTATGCAGATTGACGCCACCCATGTGCTGCAGACGGTACACAACACAACACTACTGCTGCGGACTCGTTACCTCGACAGCAACGACGAGACGTTCGGGCAAGGCGGCGCGGCGCTGGGGCCATTCCTGGCGAAACATGCTTCGGAGGAGTGCCGGGAGGTGAAGGTCGATGGCCCAGATTCCACCGGAGCGCCGACAACTTTCTGCTACTTGCTGCACGAAGAGGCTATCGTGGGGCAGAAGAGCAAAGGCGACCTCAGCGCCTGCTTGAAGCTCGGGCGGGAGTTTGTGGTTGAGCTGATTAAGCAGCTCGACTACCGACTAGAGGATCTCGCGTCGCTCAATGGGGCGAAGCTGTTCAAGAAGTCCCAGTACCCGAAGTCCGCGGCAAAGCGTGAGCGGCGGTTGGCGCAGTGGCTGCAGTCTCTGCACCACATGTACAAGAAGCATCCCGACGATCCTGACACTCTGCCAGGTGTGTTAAGCCTTTTGTCGTGAGGTTGCTTGGTTTTTTAAAATGATTATCCGCGTCTGTGAACATATGTAATCAGTCTCACGCGTTTCTCTTCCATTCTTCGCCCGCCCATTCTTACAGGTGTGGACTGGGCCAAAGCACAGCGGGAACTCAACACCTTCGCGACAATCATGAGCACCCACCAAGAGGATGTCGGCTTTGCGGAGGGCCTGAAGCAGATGCTGAGCTCACCGGACTGGACAACGAGCTACCCTAACATTGTCCGCCTGTGGATCGCTGTAGCTGTGCTCCCGCTGAGCACTGTGGAGTGCGAACGCGGATTCTCGAGACAAAACGTGATCAAGAGCTGGCTGAGAGGGAACCTGTGCGACGCCAAGCTTGGTGAGCTCATGACCGTGTCTCTTTTGACCTACGACATGGAGTGGCCCGAGTTGGTGGCGCGGTGGCACAAGTCGAAGAAGAGGAGGCCTGCAAAGCTGCTGCCGGGAGTGGAGAGGGAGAGCAAGCGCAATCAAAGAAGATCCGCAGCAGCAGCAGAGGCAGCAGCAGCAGCAGCAGCAGC